TTGCCTGCTGCTCCCCTCAGCAGTGTATTTGGGTCAGTCTGCCTGTTCTGTTACCCACTCTGCCTCTGGTGAATCCTCTCAGCCCCGGTGCCCCTGGCCTGTACCCCAGTTCTTGTGTGCATGAATAAATTAAAATAAATAATAGGGCCTCTCTGGTGGCACAAGGGGTTAAGCACAGCACTGTGAAGCCATCTGCAGCATAAATAAATCAATCTTTAAAAATAAATAAATAAATGAAATAAATCTTGTTTTAAAAAGTTTTTTTTTTTTAAAGAACTATTCCTTTATTTTAGGATTTTTATTTATTTTGCATAGAAGAACTGGGGTGTAGGCCAGTGGTGGAGGGGCGGGAGGGGAGTGGGGGAGTTAAGAGTATCCACCAGAGACAAAGTGGGAAGCAGAACAGGTGGATCCACTGAAACACACTGCTAAGGGGAGTAGCAGGAGAGACTAGAGAGGTCTGCTGCACCATGTGGGTTAGTTCCCTGGCTGGCGATAGAACTCAAAAACTCCTATCACTTAAAGGACCGAACTCATTTTTTAAATTAAGAAAGTTATTAAATTAGAACACTAAAGAGAACACAAGTTAGAGTAACTATCTGGGTTTCAGTACACTTATAATAAAATATCAAATGTTAAAATAAAAGGGGTTATACATTTTTAATAGGTTATCTTGGTTCCTGCCTTCAACAATGTTAAAGAGGAGGAATTTGAAATGTGAAAACTGTTACTTTTCACAAAGATTGGCTTCCAAGATAGTGCAGACTGGAGATTCTAAAAGCCAGAAGTGACGTTTTTTGATTTGGGCATCCAATTCAGAGTAGGTGCTCAGGAGCAGCAATAATTATCATGTAAGACAGTGTTTATTTCATTCTGAGAACAGCCCTTTGATGTAGGAACAACTGGATCCACTGATCAGCCCAGGATACTGATGCTTAGGAATTAATAGCCAGGGTAATAAACTTAACAAAACACAGTGCCTGGACTCAAAACCCGCACTATGTTCAAACCCAATGCTCTTGACAAGCATAATTTATTACTTAAGGAAAAATTAATACAAGTTAATATAAGGTACTTTGTAGCAAATGAACTCATTGAGATTATCTATTCTAATAAGAATAACTAAGGTAGGGGCCTCCCCGGTGGCGCAGGGGTTTAAGTCTCAGCACTATCAAGCTATCGCCAGCTTCTGCAGAGTGAGTTCAATCCCCAGCCCGGGAGCTAACCCACAAGGCGCAACAGACCTCTCCTCTCTGGCCTGCTGCTCCCCTCAGCACTGTATTTCAGTAGATCTGCCTGTTCTGCCCCCCATTCTGTCTCCCTAATCACCCCAGTTCTTGATTGCATAAAGAAGTCTTTTTTTAAAAAAAGGATGTTAGCAAAAAAAAAAAGATTAGCTTTAAAATGGCACTTAGTAATTATGATCTTATTATCCTACCTATCAAACCTTTGCCATCTAACTATAGTCCAAGTTAAAGAAAAATTCACATGGTGACAGGTAAGGTAATGTAAAGGTCCAACTCTGCAGAGGGGAAGATTTGGACACAACATCCTCAAATATGCCAAGCACTGATTTCATCAAGTCTTTCAAAAGGAAAACAATTTTAAGAGTCCTGAGAACTATTCTGTTGGGCATAGCAATATTACTGGATTCTTAATTCCTTTATAGAACGACCAACCAAAGAAAAATAGCTAAGTTGAAAATCCAGATCTTTAAATAGAACATGGAGGCAGTTGTTATTAAAGGAAAACTGAAGTGAATCCCTTTTAAAAATTAATGTCACTTGTGGAGAATGTAATGCAAAGTTATCTTTCAGGAAACTTAAACCAAGGGTTTTTTAAATGGGCTAAGGTTTTTATTCTTAAATTAGTTTTACAGAGAAATGGCTCCCCTTGCCTTAATCATAATACACAAACAAACTTCTTGGTAAAAGAATAATTCATAAAGTAGGTTCTCACTCTAAATCTGCATTTACAAACTGCAAATTCAAATCCACTAACAGAAATGCCAATATACATTTCACTAAAATATATATTAACAGTATACATCTGCCCCACTAGATTACTGTTGAAAGAATATTATGTCCTCTCACCCTCCCGCACATCTGGCCTGTGCCCCGTTCTTGTATGCGTGAATAAATCTTCTTTAAAAAAAAAAATATTATGTCAAAGTACTTCATAAACAGTCAAGTATTATTACATGAAAAGCACGGTAACTGGTATTAATTTAGGTATGTGCCTATTTTATGAAATTACATTCCAAAAAGCTCACCTCCATCCCCCCATAATTTAATTCCTTTATTCATGAACATATAGAAAAACCAAACAATTACATTTGTTAAAACCCTATCTAAATGAGGCACATTACTCCATATTTACATAAATTTTAAGCAAAGATGGTCCTGTATCATTCTGACTGTATCACAGTCTTTTTTGTTCATTTCTAGATTTTCCAATATGTTCTAGATAGTTCAGATGGCAGAGTAACTACCAGGTAACATAAGCATTACTAGAGCAAGCTTATGAGGTATGTGTAAAGCATATTTTAAATTACATGAAAAACTGAGGAAAAAAATCTTCCCCCAAAATGAGCTACATTACTGATATCCAATTGTTTTAATCTATTAACTATATAATACATATATCTCCTCTGAAATGTGAAGTATGAATTTTACCTTTATACATAAAAGAAAACAAATCTCAAAAGAAAATATTCCCACTGAGATTTACTAGAGAAATCCATATGCATCATAAAAGCAGAGTTTGTAATGACCTGGAATATGAGAGTGAGATCTACTAAGTTCAAAGATGAATAACCATTAATTCAACTTAGTAGTTGTCTTAGCTTCTGGGCATGTATTTCTAACTAATACATCCTTAGGACAAAATAAATTGTAATATTTACCTTGATTTACAAATAAATTTATTATATATTTGGATTATGAGTTCAAATCCTACAGCGCTAGACAGAATATTCGATTCCAAGTAATTTCCAGCAATCAAAAAGTTTAATGTTATCACATTTTGTCCTTTTTTATCTATATCCTGACTTTACTGAGTTTCACCAAAAAAAAAAAAAAAAAAAAAAAGCCTACCTACTTTGATTGTTTGGGATATTAAATGATAAAAAACAAAATCACCTAGCCCAAAACCTGGTAAACAGCACCTCAGGTCAGCTATCATTACTGTCTACCAATGTATCAACTGAAACTCTAGTTTCCAACTTTATTTTTTTTAAAGCTTTATGTATTTATGCATACAAGAGCTGGGGTACAGGCCAGAGATGGCAGGGTTGAGGGGATTCACCAGAGACAGAGTGGGGAACAGAATAGGCAGAATGACTGAAATACACTGCCGAGGGGAGCAGTGGGCGAGTCAGGAGAGGTCTGCTGCGCCATGTGGGTAGCTCCCTGGCCGGCCAGGGATCCAACTCGTGCAGTGGCTATGGATTGCTTCATAGGTTGTGTCTTATAACCCCTTGCGCCACCAGGGAGACCCTACCCTCCAACTTTAAAGCTGCTTAAAAAGTAGCATAGTTAGCCAGAACTGAATTATCAGGAAGTAACACTGCCTTTAATTAGTATCTGTTTAACTTAAAATTGTTAGCCAGACTACAAATGACTTTAATAAGTATAAGGATATTCTATAATAAGCAACAAATTAGTTAATGAATTATAAACTAAGTCTGGAGTTTCAATTAATTTAATTTTCCTTAAATAAGAAATATACATATATTTTTAATTACACATGGAAAATCACTTTGGCTTCACTATGGATTCAGTAGGTAGGAATCCTATCACAAAACTATGATCAAACAACTTTTTTCCCAAAACATACCGGGCGTCTTAATGTGCTCAAATTTCCTCTAGACAAAAAGTGAAACTAACACTCCAGAAAGTCCAGTGTCAAGAAGAGTTCTAGGTCCTGGGGCACTGTTCATATTTTATTCATCTATGTACAGAATATTCAGCTATGTTTATGTATAGGTGGCTACTTGAGTAAATATTCTGAACACTGTTAAGTCACTAACATTGCTAAATAAACTAAAATTAGTCAACAAAATAAGGTAGATGATTTGGCCACTTCAAGTGAATGTTCTGATGTTAGTGTTCAGATTTGAGGCAAATCCCAAACATCCCAGCCTTTAAAATTATTGGCTTTGTTTTGTTTTAGCAACAGAAAAAGGGTGCACTTTCCCATAGTTTCTGAAACTCCAGAAGTTAAAAACAAACTAATCAAAATATCATGTATTCTAAATCATAACTTAATAGAAATTATTTATTAGAAAACAACTAGATGCTTAAGTACTATTTCAGTGAATACAGTGACTCAAAAAAAAGAAATATGTTTGAGCCACTGGTCATACTAACATCAGATATTGTTCATTTTATTAATACGACTTATAAGAATATTCTGAATATTCTGTGCACTGCTACCTAAGAACCCCATCTAGCAATGCATCGGGTGCTCTCGCCAATCCCACGACTGGAGACGATACAACGCAGGGTGAGGTATCAATGGGAGCAAATCGGTAGGCAGGGGAGGAGAGCGGGGAGGGAAGGAAAGAGGAAGATCAGAGAGGATTAATTACTGCATTACTTGTGGAAGGGAAGGAGGAGGCTCCGGCCGAGCCGGCGGAGCCCCGCGCCCGGGGAGTGGGAAAAGTGGGTCCTGCGGTTAGAAAGGACCAAGGGGTGGGAGGAGGGGCAACTCTGAACAGGAATCTTCCCGACGTGGAAACGGGTGCGTCACTAACGCAGCGGCTTTGGGAAAGAGAAAATCTTCCCTAGGCTCAAGCTCAATTAGCAATTGTGGAGGAAGGGGGAGTGACCTTCGGAGGCGTGACGGAGGAAACCCAGGGTCACCCCCCGAAGGACGGGGAGAGCAGGCGCCCCCGCAGGTCCGGCGGGCCACGGCGGGTGGGGAGGGGAGGGAGGGCCGGCGACCGGGCCGGGGGCCGCGTCCGGACCCGGCGACCCCGGGCGGCGGGTGGGCGTTACCTGCAGGGTCACCTCCTGGGGGTCCCAGTGCGGCCGCAGGTGTTGCAGGAGGCTCAGGGCCCCCTCCCGGCAGCGCTGCTCTTCTTGATCCTGCACCGTGACGTCCAGCTTGGGCACCTCCGGGGAGCCGGGCGGGACGTGGATGTAGTTGGCCATGGCCCAGGCGACGGCGGAGACTACCACCACGACGACGGCGACGGCGACCACGAGAGCTGCGGGCGCCGACAGGCTGGTGGCTCCTTCCGTCCCGGGGCGCCCTCGCGGGAGGGCTGGGGGCGCTTAGACTGACGGGCGAGCGGCGGGAGACCGGCGGGAGGCGGCGCGGGCGCCGACCCGGGGCTGGGCAGCAGCTGAACTGAGCCGGGGCCGTTCGCAGGGACGAAGCCTCTCGTCTGCGCTCCCCCGCCGGCGGCCGCAGAGCACGCCGGGACTGGCCTGACGCTCGCGTCACGCTGGGGCGGGGCCTCCGCCGGCGTCGCGAGCGCGGACGGCTTCAGCGCCGGCACAATGGGGCGGCCGTCGCGCTGGTTCCCGGGCCCGCCGGCCCGCTCGGCGCGGCGTCCCGCTGGTTCCCCGCCTCTGCCGCCCCCGGGCCTCCCCCTCCGGCCCCCTCCCTCGGGCTCCTGAGTCCTGCGGAGCCCGGAAAGGCCTTGAAGCTTCAGCTCACCCGATCCGCAGGGCCCCGGGATCGAGGTTTGAATGAGAGCAAAGTTTTTCTGGGAAGCGAGGCGCGGCCTGAAATACACCCGGGATCGTCGTCTGAACTTGGGCAGAGTCTAGACGAACTGGATTCACCGCGTCGCCTTGATCGCGGAGCTACTCCGTGCTGCGGACCACATCGCGGGTTGGGCGGGCGACTGATGCCCCATTAGCACCCCAGTGACGTCGTCATGGTGTTTTGGATAAACTTAGCTGAGATACCTGGTGGAGACAGTACCGACTGCATAAGTTATTTTTAAGGTCAGATGTTTGCCCACACTAAGAGTTACAGAGAGCCAGGAAAAGGAAGGAATATAGTCTTGAAGCTCAGCGCTAGCATGGTTCTGCCTGTTTTAGGATATCCCTAAATGGGCCTTGAAACTGCTGCCTTCAAGCTTTAGTGTGTGTTTTAAAGCAGCTGTTTCCCCTGTTAAGGGATTACTGGAAGTTGAGTTAGTCACAAGTAATTTATTAGAACCCCCTAATTTTCTTTATGATTGAGAAAATGAGCTGAGATTTGACCTCTTAATCTGTCTTCCTTACAGCACTCACTACAGGGTGAATACATTTGTGAATGATAAATTAAGTCACTGAGGGATTCAGGTTAACATTGAAAATGCTTTATTACCTCATTATCATGACTTTTCATTCTGATTATTCCGAAAGAACCTACTTACCTTCGTAAATCACAAATAGTTCGCCGTGAGTTATCAGTTAACTAAAAAGAGGAAAAAGAAAATACTTTTATAATACAACGAGAAAACTGAACATTTTCCAGATTTAGCCTTTTTTTAAATGTATTATCAAAAAAAGCTAGATTATGCATTCCTTCCAATTTGGGGTAGACATTTTTCACATTTTTAGATAGTATCTCGTGCCTTCATATAAATTTTATATTTTTTTTTACTAAAGAGTTCACACTTTGAGAACTTAGATATATTTTTGAATTGTGATAGGATTTAATATCAAATGATAAAAAATTATTTCAGGAACTGTACAATTTGTAATTTTAAAGACGTGTCCACTAGTAATTAGAAAGGGGAAAAAAACAACCACTAGGTACCTAAGAATAAAACTAAAAAAGGGTGGATAATTCATTTAAAAGAAAAATGAACCATAGCCTCATACCAAAAAGTGCTATAAAGACCTCAGTTTTCACTGAATCAATAAATAGAATCCAATTAAAACCAAAATCTCAAGGTTTTCATAAAACTTGTTAAAGTGACATTAAAGTTAAAGATGCAAACTATGAAGCTACCCCCAGCCACTGCAGCATGAGTTGCATCCCCAACCAGGGAGCAACCCATATGGCACAGCAGACCTCTCCTGACTGGTCCGCTGCTCCCCTCAGTGTATTGCAGTGTGTTTCAGTCATTCCGCCTGTTCTGTTCCCCACTCTGAGTCTGATGAATCCTCTTGCCCCCCCACACACACTTCAGGCCTGTACCCCAGTTCTTGTATGCATAAATAAGTAAATCTTTTAAAAAAATAAAGTTCTTATCAAAACATAAGGTCCAAGGCAAATTGCTATGATTTTTTTTGTGAGCTGAGGGAGGGTCGGAGAACAAGTTGGGAGAACCCATGCCACAGGATGGGTTTATTATATAATGATTTAGGAATGAGCAAACAGACTAGAACAAGAATTTCCAGAAAAGACCAACACATATTCAAGAATAGTATATATGACAAAGGTAGCATTAAGTATTCAGGAAGGATGGGTGACTCAATACATGGTATTAAAGCCATATAGGAACATTTTTATCCTTTGTGTAAAAAATGAATTCTAGGAGATTAAAAACCTAAATTTTAAAAAGCAGAGCTTTAAAAATATCTAAGAAATACCAGTTATCAATTAGATCTATCGATTTTATGCAATTCCAATCCTAATGCCAGCAAATTATTTTATGAATATTGACAAAATGATTCCAAAGTTCATATAGAGATGCAAAAGAAGCAGAATAACTAATGATTCTGAGGAACCACAAAATCAGAAGTCACCACCCAACTATGAGGTTTATTACAACTACAGTAACCAAGACTATGTGATATTGGTAAAAGAATAGAGAAATGGAACATGTGCACATATGAAAGAGCAAAAATGTAAATTAAAACAAAAATAAGACCAATAAAAAAATGGGCAAAGAATCGAGACATATCTCATCAAGAAGATATAGAGAGCAAGCAAGCATATGAAAACATGTTCAACATCATGTCATGAGATAATTGCAACTTAAAACAACAATGAGCCTATTAGAATGGCTAAAATCCCAAATATAGCACCAAATGCCGACAAAGATTTGGAGAAATAGGAATAGTCATCACTGGTGAGATGCAAAATGGGATAGCCACTTTGGAAGATAGTCTGGCAAATTCTTATAGAATTAAACAATCTTATGACCTAGTGATCTTGCTTCTTGATATTTACCCAAATGAACTGAACACTTACACCCACATGAAAATCTGCACACAAATGTTTTTAGCACCTTTATTCAAAATTGCCAAATCTGAAAAGGCAGCCAATCTGAAAAGGCTGTATATGCTGTATGATTCCAACACCACGGCCCTCTGCAAAAGCCAAAACTGTTGAGACAGTACAAAGATGAGTGCTTTCCAGGGGTTTGGGCAGCAGGAAGGAAGGAAGAATAGGTGGGGCACAGGGGAGTTTTAAACTATTTAAAGTATGATACTGTTACGGTCCATACAGAATATTAGGGATTTGTCAGAACTCATAAGAATTGCACAACACAAAAAAGTGAACCCTAATGTAAACTATGAACTTTAGTTGACAGTTCATTGGTTTTGGCCACCAGCATACTGCCTTGCTATAGTTAGTGCAAATGAATGAATGAAGAAAAGTATAATATAGGATCAGAACCCTATGATTACAAATTAAGGATGGATTTGCTAAACAAGACTTATAAAGCACTCATCATGAAGGCAAGGACTGAAAAATTTGAAAATACTAACATTTAAAACTTCATGAAATTAAATGAAAAAGTATAAATAAAAAGATAACAAAGATATATGTGATTAAACAAGAATTCAGAATACCACCAAGTAATAAAACCAAATGGAAAATGGACAAAGGTGATCAGCTCAAAAGAGGAAATCCAAACAGATAATAAACTTGTGAAAATATGCTCCTCTAACCAAGATAAAAAAAAAAAATAGTCTCCATCAGTTTGGAACTTTTTTTAAATTTTGACAATGTCAAGTGTACACTATCAGGAGGAAGGTAAACTTACTTGAAGAAAAACAACTTGGAAAAATAATTTTGTAGAGGCATTCTTTCCCATCGACCAACTTTAGTTCCAGGTAAATGCTAAAATGTCCCTCAAATGTACATGAAAAAGTGTTAGAACAATGCACACTGCAGTATCATTTGCAATAACTGGCAACAACCTAGCTGTCTGTCAATGGAGAAATGATTGGACGAATGGATAGATTGATCAATCAATGGATCTATACGTAGGTAGGCAGACATACATGCATACATACTCAGGAATATCCTACAAGAGAAGGAAGATGGCAGATGGAATTTATGCATCTAGTTATGTACATTCTCAGGTGAGAGAAGTCAGAAATCAAGCAGTAGCTCTGAGGACCAAACAGCACCTCTGGTTAGACTGCAAACAGTTGACATCTCTTTTTTTCTGCACCTATTTTTATCTCTATTCTACTTCTACTTGTCTGTTTTTGCTTCCTTGTGATTTCTGCCTACTAGTTTCTCTTCCTGGGTCTCCCTATCAGTCATATATTACTCAAAAGTTGTTCCCAAGGAGACCTTTCCATTGCTTCTTTTACCACCACAACCAGTTTTATTTTGAAAATATCACTTGTCACTATGTTAATCATCTTGAAATTGATGTACTTACTTTTTTATTGTCTCTTTTTGACTACCATGTTAGCCCCAAGAGAGCAAAGCTGTGATTTGTCTTGTGTCTTGCCACTTTTCCACTGCCTAGAATAATTCCTAGAAAATAAAAAGTAAATAATTGCTAGAGTAAATAATTGCTAGAGTCCTCCCTAGAATCCCAGTCATTTTCCTATTGAGGGGAGCTAGATTGTTGCTAGTTTTTAGCTATTATGAACAATAGTGCAGTGTACAGTCTTGTATACACTTTCTTGTGTGTATGTGTGGATTTTCCATACCAGGAATTGAAATTGGTAGGGGGTAAAGAATGCCCACCTAGTTAGCTCCTGAAACTGTTGCCAGTTTCCCATAAGAACAGCCCTCAGACAGGAGTGGTATTCACAGATCACCAGAGAGTTCTCTGATTAAGCTGAGAAAAACACACATCAAGCAAGGACTGCTTCCTAGGCAGCTGGCCAGCCCATAAATTATCTTTGGCTTTGGAACAAAGCCTTAACTACAGGATGTCAGTAAAATTGTCCAGCACCTTGCAACACATGTCTAGAGGATATGAGATAGGTCTGAAGATATCATTATACAGTGTTCAACACATTTTAGTTCTCTTCCTGTACTTAAGCATGACACTGTAGCCTCCAGCACTGGGAATGACCTGCCTCCCATATCTGCTTCTTGAAAGCCCACTCATTCTTCAGAGCTTAACTCCCCAACAGTAATCTTCATGGAGTCTATCTGGATTTTCCCGGTACAAATTTACTTCTCCCTTTTATGCATTGTTAGAATGCGTAACAAATTCTGCCTCATACCACCCACATTGTGGATTTAAGTCATAAAGATTGTGCCACATATAAAAGACTAATAAAACTGTTTATAAATTGTTAAATAATGAGCATTTTATATAAGGGAATGAAAGGAACCCTGAATATAAACCCAGAGGCTCTGGTCATAAATGTTTTAATTACAATGGAATTAATGTTCATTACCAGAGTAACAACATAAAGAATTTGCAGAAGAAAATACTCTGTGAGATTATGTGGGTACACCTAGTAGCTAGATCATCCAGCAAATCAAAAGCATCATTTAAGGTGAAATCATTCTTGCACATCAGTTTGCTAATGTCACTGTAGAGTGAACTGAAATTCAAAAATGCAAAACATCTGTGATAGATGATATTCAAGGACATGAATGATGTGTCTGTGCTGTCCTCATCCTCTCTGAGCCCCTCCAAAAAATAAAACAAAGAGTCTCTAAGTACTTCAATTTTCAGAGATTCTGCCTAAGGACAAGGCTGCGGATCCAAAGTTAAGGTAGCCCAAAGGAGCTGTCTGTAAAAGGACAGCAGTGAGTAAGTAAAACATCTAACAAAGACTATGCTGCTTACACATATCCCGAGTCAGTTCAACGAATTTAATGGATATTTAACTCTATAAAATGTGTCTATTGGTGCTTATTCTAGCTTGCCTCCTTTTCATATCCCTTGAATCAACTTATAACACTAATTCAAGCAATGGATTAACTCCTTGAGAGCAAGAATTCAACTATTTTCCTCTTTATATCCTTTATGCTCTCAAGATAGTGTCTTGCAAATTACAATTATGGATTTAATTGAGCAGAGAAACATATCAAATTATAACCATTTAAAATATGTAAGGAGGAAAAAACTAAAATTCTTATGTGAGTAATAGAAGAGGATGCACGTTGCCATATGTTAAATCATAACATAAAGCCGCATATTGTTAGATGGCACAGGAAGAAACTGATCAACATAAGAAACATCCTATTATATATGGGCATGTGCATGTAACAAAATAACATTTTAAATCAGTGGTGTAAAGCAGATTTATTGAAAATAATGTGATAAAAGATTTTTCACAGAATTTGATAAAGCTGAGTTAGTAGTCATTATTATTTAATTGGTATTAATAAAAATCTCACAATTTCTAATCAAAATTTCATCTTAGTTATATATAAATCAATAGCAAAAATATCAGATTCAGTGCTTTTCTTTTTTTTTAATCTGTTTTTGCCCAGGGCTTAGTTAGTGATTGGCATTCAGTAGGTACTTACTAATTATTTGAATGCTAAAATGAGTGACATGTTGAAAATGTTCTACGTAATACTTTATTTTTTTAAAGATTTATTTATTTATGCATACAAGAGCTGGGGTACAGGCCAGAGATGCAGGGGGTGAGAGGATTCACCAGAGACAGCGTGGGGAACAGAACAGGCAGACTGACTGAAATACACTGTTGAGGGGAGCAGCAGGTGAGACAGGAGAGGTCTGGGTTGCTCCCTGGCAGGCCAGGGATCAAACTCCGTGTTGCAGAGGCTGCAGGTTGCTTCATAGTGCAGTTCTTAACCCCTTGCACCACCAGGAAGGCACCTGCATAATACTTTAAAACAATGTTTCAGACTCCTAAAGTAACCTGAGGTGAATGTATGTTTTTTCACTATCATTGCCACTTTTCTTCAAACACAATTATTTTAACACTAATTCAATTCCGAAGTGAAATGTTTAGTAGCTCTATTCTTATGCCTACTTTGTCCTCCATAAGATGTCTTTGAAACATTAAAATGTGGAAGGATTTCAGAGCAATTGTGTGCGCTGTGGGCTAATGTTCACTATTTGTGTGCTAAAGCATATCAAAAACACACATAAAGCCAGGATCACTTGCTCCAGCTACACCTTCTACTCTTGCTCCAAAGGATGAAATGTTGCCTTCTTGCCCTCTAAGTACAGTTATAGAGCCAAAAGGATTTGAGCTTTGTAGCTTAAATATGAGCTTAGATTGTCTTGCTCTAAAATTTGAACAATTATTTTGATCTCTTTAACCTCAGTTTCCTCACCTGCAAAACAATGATAGGGAGATGCTGAGAAGATTTAAATAGATGATTGCCAAAACTTCCCCATAATGCCTTATTATCTGATTATTAGCCTTTTATCTGGAGTAAGCCAAATGCTACATAATAGCCATTATTAAATGAGGTGGTGCTATTATTATTAGATATTAGATACGAGAAGGCAAAAAAAAACAGTTTTAACTTAATTCAAGTGAATTGTTTCAAGGCTTAAACCTTAGTTCAGTAAAGGGACTTCAAAATCCAGAACTGAGTTATGGCTCTGGAGTACACCTAACCTAAGGTGCTTCTCTCTTCTCTTTTGAGATAGATTAATCAGTCTAGAGGAGAGTAGTCCACAGGCAGGGTAAGGAGACTATCAAGGACCTACTTTCTCTGGTTCTTTGTAATCCACTCCGTCTGCTCATGTTACTCTCCCTTTCTTCCCATTGTCTATTTTAGAGCTGCCCTGAGTAACATGACCTTGAAAGAAGGCACAAAAGCAAAGAATGAGAGTGACATCCTGACTCAGTGACAATGTCTACAAGATATCCTAAGATGAGCTGCTACTGAATAGAAACATATACTTACTGGTGAAGTGATGAATTTCCAGTGTTTTATCATCAAAACTGTGTTTCTCATGTTTAAAATATTCCAGGGAGGAGAAGTGGGGGAGGGGGAAGCAGAGCCTCATAAAATCAATCTCGCAGTTCTTTCAAGACTGCTAAGCTAAAACGGAACAACAAATGTAATTAGTATTCTTATGTGCCACCAATAAATACTTGGGGCAGGGGCCGAGGGGGAGGATCATATTCAAATTGCAGTGAAAAGAATAAACTACCTAGAAATAAAGATGTATGAGAACTTTTTCCTTGATACATCTTCATTTTTTAAACTATAAAATGGGAACATGCATGTACAAATAATATCTTATATTTGTTTATACTCAGCAATAATTATCAATAACCTTAGCTCCATATGATTCAGTTAAAATAATTTAATGCAAAATAACTATTAGGCGAAATAACTAAATAGTCAAACCACATTCCCAATAACTTTAATATTCACACTTGGATCCACATTTAGCAATTTTTAATCTTTACACATCTTTAAAATGTTTTGACTGTTAAGGCATTTTTCAAAAATTTCTGCTTTTCTTCTGATGTATTTTCAGTTAAGCACATTGCTTTGAGCTATTCAAAATAGTGAAATTTAAAAGTAATATAGTTACTCAAAACATAAGTAATTTGTGATGTGCCCATATAGCATAAATTTGTGCATTCAATTAACATTCACTTACAAATTGTATTTACTGTATTGAGAAAATGTATGTGATGTGTTTTTAGGTTTAAAAATGTGGAGAGAGGGGGGCGGAGCAACATGGCGGCGAGGAGACGCTGCGAGTAAGATCTCCCATTAAAAAAAGTGAATAGGGAGGAAAAGCGGCAGGTCCCAGTGAGAACTGGGACACGGAAGATAAACGGGTGACGCCAGCGAACTGCCCGAAGAAGAAAGTGGCCATAAAAGAGGACCAGAAGGGAGGGAAGCGCAGAAACTGCTCCCCTCCCCCGCCCACAGAGGCGGCACTCTCCGACCGGCAGAGAGGAGGAAAACACACTAAAACGACCAACAAGAAGAAACGACGCAGCAAGCGGGACTGTGAGTGGAAAGGAACTATTGCAGCCACCACACCCCGTGAGCGAATGGCTCCGGGCGCCATTGAAGAGAGACCCCGCCCCCGGGGAGGAGACCAGCACCAGCACACAGCCCCGGGCTGCCCGGTAAGCCTGTGCAGAAAGGTGGCGCGCTGGAAAAACAGGCGCGGATTGCGGTCAGGATTGCGCGGAACAGCAGCGCGCTGGAAAACCAAGGGCGGATCGGGATCGCGCACGGAAAAGCAGTGCAGTTGAAAAGCAAACGCGGATCCAGATCGCAGCTGCCCAGGTCCCTGCGCCTGCGACCTAGGCTTGCGGGGAGACGCGCAGAGGCCCTCACTGAGTGAGCAGGCCCAGGCGCCCAGGCACGGGAGCGGGACTCAAAAGGCGCCATTCCCGCGCCACTGAACTGGGCTACAGCCTGAGTCCTGGAACTGAGGGCTTTGGAACTGACACCCGGGGCACGAAACTAGGGGCGTGGGTTCCCCACGATGGTGGGGCACAAGGCAGACACAGCACCCCAAAGCCGTTGAGGTTTACCCTACCATTCCCACTCTATTCCCTGTCCCACGGGGTGGAAAATCAGCTCCCCAAGGGCTCCAGGAGAGATCTCTGGCGCCACCTAGCGACTTGAAGCCAGCAGAGGCACCTAGAGGAGCCAGTGGCCAGCTGGGGAGTTAGCCCACGCCGGGCCCCTTCCGACCAGTAGTCTGAGCCCACAGGGGGAGCGAGCACCCACAGCCGGGGCAGACCAGGCGCGCAGAAGAGTGTGCCTGAGACCGAACGCACAGGGAGTGTGTCCCACATCACCATCTTAGAACAGGGACATTTCTTCAGTAAAGACTACCTGCAGAAGGCTTCCTCAGGAGCCAGAGGTGAGCGGGGGAAGTTCGCCCATGCCAGACCCCCTCTGGCCTGCAGTCCAAGCCCAGAGGGGGAGCAGGAACCCACCGCCAACGCAGACCAGGTGCACAGGGGAGTGTGTCCCCACATCGGCATTTTAGAACAGGGACCTTTCTCCAGTAAAGACTGCTTGAAACTGACAGATGACTCCTGGAGGAACCAGAGGAGAGCAGAGAAGCTCACCCAAGATGCCGGCCAGTCCCAACTACACAGTGTCCCAACGCATACGGCAAATTAGAAAACAGACAGTAGGGAGGAGAAGAACCACACGCAACCTAGCAACTCCCCAGGGAAAAAGCACACCACAAAAAGAAAAGCAGCCCCCAGATTGCAACGACAGTAACTTGGAAGAACTTCTGAGCCTTCCAGAAAGAGAATTTAAAATTGCCGTGATTAAAAAACTGACAGAAGTCATAAAGGAAAACAATGATAAGGGAAAAATAATCAACCATCAGATGAATGCAATTGAGTCCCTAGAGAGGGAAAACAATGGTCAGAAGAATGAAATTGAGTCCCTAAAGAGGGAAGTAAAAGAAATGCAGGAGATCAAAGAATTAATGGAAGAACTAAAGAATTCTGGGAAAAGCAATGAAAGCAGAATAGATGAAATGGAAGAACGAATAAGTAATCTTGAAGACACAGAAATAAAAAGAACCAAAACAGAAAAGGAAAGAGAAGTACGAAGGAAAAAGAACGAAGAAAGACTTCGGGAACTATCTGACTCCATGAGGAAAGGAAATATAAGAGTTATAGGAATACCAGAAGGAGAGGAGAGAGATGTAGGAACAGAGAAAATATTCAAAGAGATAATTGAAGAGAACTTCCCAAATGTGAAGAAGGAACTGAAAATTGATATACAAGAAGCAAGAAGAACACCAAACTTCCACGATGAAAGGAAAAATACAGCAAGACACATAATAGTAAAGCTCCCAAGAATCCAGGACAAGGAAAAAATAATGAAGCTGGCAAGAGGGAAGAAACAGATAACATTCAAAGGAAAGCCAATCAGGCTGACATCAGACTTCTCCGAAGAAACACTACGGGCAAGGAGAGAATGGAGGGACATAGTCAACAGACTCCAAGAAAACAGATGCCAACCAAGAATTCTCTATCCCGCAAAGCTCTCCTTTCTCTTTGAAGAAAGAATATGGACCTTCCCAGACAAACAGAAACTCCGGAATTTCATTGCAACTAAACCCCCACTCCAAAAAATACTACAAGGAGTCCTAAAGCCAGAACCTCAGAGGGACGAATAACAATGAAAGAAGGCCAAAAAAAAAAAAAGTTATTAAAAGAATAAATAAATAAAATCAAAGGAAAGACAAACACAATGGCAAATACAGATGCTAACATATCAATATTAACTCTAAATGTAAATGGACTAAACTCTTCAATAAAAAGACACAGAGTTGCAGCCTGGATTAAGAAACAAAACCCAACCTTTTGCTGTCTCCAGGAAACACATTTAGCTACAAAAGATAAAAATAGGCTCAAAGTTAAAGGATGGAAAACAATCCTACAAGCAAATGGACCAAAAAAGAAAGCAGGAACAGCTATACTTATATCAGATAAAACAGATTTCAAACTCAAAAAGATAAAAAGAGACCCCAATGGTCACTACATTATGATCAAGGGGACAATACTTCAAGAAGAAATAACACTCATTAACATATACTCACCAAACGAAGGAGCACCAAAATATATCAGACTACTGTTATCCTCTCTGAAAACAGACATCAGAGAAAACACATACGTAGTGGGAGACTTCAACACACCACTATCAACAATGGATAGATCAACAAGACAAAAAATAAGTAAAGAAACCAAAGCTCTAAATAAGGACCTAGAGCAATTGGGCTTAACAGACATCTATAGAACATTAAACCCCAAAAAAACGGAGTACACATTTTTCTCAAGCGCACACGGATCATTCTCCAGGATCGATCACATACTGGGGCACAAGACAAACATCAACAGATACACCAAGATTGAAATCATATCAACCATCTTTTCTGACCATGAAGGCATCAAACTAGAAATAAACCATAAAAAGAAGGCAAGGAACTTTCCTACCTCATGGAGATTAAAAACCACACTACTGGAAGACCACTGGACTAATGAGGAGATCAAAGAAGAAATTAAAAAATTCTTTGAATTGAACGACAAGGAGGACACCAATATCCTAAATGTATGGGATGCAGCAAAAGCAGTAATAAGAGGAAAATATATAGCAATAGAAGCTCACATCAAGAAACAAGAAAAAACTCAAAGAAACAACCTAATCTCGAAGCTCAAAGATCTAGAAAAAGAACAACAAAAAAACCCCAAAACCAGTAGAAGAAAAGAAATAATAAAAACAAAAGCAGAAATAAATGAAATTGAAACTAAAAAAAAATCCAAAAGATCAATGAAACCAAGAGCTGGTTCTTTGAAAAAATCAATAAAATAGACAAACCCCTAGCCAGGCTCACAAAGGAAAAAAGGGAGAAAGCACAAATAAACAGGATCATCAATGAAAGAGGAGAAATCACAATGGACACAGCAGAAATCAAAAGAATAATCAGTAACTACTATGAACAGTTATATGGAAACAAGTTTAACAATCTAGAGGAGATGGACAAATTCCTACAACTCTACAATCACCCAAAGCTAGATAAAGAAGAAATAGAACACCTAAACAGACCAATTACAAGCAGCGAAATTGAAATGGTAATCAAAAACCTCCCCAAAAACAAAAGCCCAGGACCTGATGGATTTACAAATGAATTCTACCAAACATTCAGAGACGAATTAGTGCCTATCCTTCACAAACTCTTCCAAAAAATTGAGAAGGAAGGGACAATACCAAACACGTTCTATGAAGCCAACATTACACTAATACCAAAACCAAACAAGGACAACACAAAAAAGGAAAACTACAGGCCAATCTCCCTAATGAACACTGATGCAAAAATCCTCAATAAAATTTTAGCTATCAGAATCCAACAATGCATCCATAAGATAATTCACCACGACCAAGTAGGATTCATTCCAGGGACACAAGGATGGTTTAACATCCGAAAATCAATCAACGTTATCCAACACATCAACAAAAAGAAATATAAAAACCATATGATAATATCAATAGATGCTGAGAAAGCTTTCGACAAAGTGCAACACCCATTCATGA